CGGGCCGACTTCCGCCCGCGCAGCTTCCCCTCCCGGGTTTCGGGAAGTCCCCTCCCTTCCCCTCCGCGGCGCCCCACGCCTCCAGTCCTCCGCTGCAGCCACCCACCGAGCTGCGCCCCAGCTCTGCGCCCTGGGGCTCGGGGACCCCCGGGGCCCCCACTCTCGGGTTGGGCCATGGCGGCAGGTGAGAACACAGTCGCTCCAGGCCCGTGGGGCTCCCGTCTCCCTCCCTGGGCTCCGCGGAGGAGGGCAGACGGCTCTGGACCCAACTTCAGGATCGCGGAGGTGGGAGGACGCAGGGCTGTTGGGTTGCTGGACTTAGCTTAGGAACAAGGGTACTTGAGTCTGCTTAAAAGACACGAAAACTTGGGTTTTGTGGGCTTCCCTGGAAACCTAGAGGGGCGCTCTTTAAGAACGTTAGCTGGGTCGTGAGGCCCTGATGTCACCAGTAGAGTCGGAAGGTCAGAAACCCCTAAAAAAGACTGTCGGGTTGGCATGATGTCATTGCAGGCCTTTACAGAAAAGATTGCGATCTCCGCAGTCGGGAGCCAGCACGGGTGGGGCCTTTAAAGGGGATTCGGGAGCAGTCTGCGGTCAGAGCCGAGGTCAGCCGCGAGCCCAGAGTGGCGTTCGGCTGGTTTGGGGAGAGGGCTGGCGCCGCCCCGCGGGAGGGCCCGGGTCTCTTTAAGGGCCTGCTGACGTCACGGGCGGGAGCGCTCGGGGTTGGCGGACCACCGCCGGTCCTACCCTCCCCTGGAAGGCCGGGAGGGGTGGGAGCGCTCGGGGTCGCCTCCCGGGTCGCCTCCCTCCCTTCTTCACCTCTCCCGCGCTTGACTGTTCCAGATGCAGTGAGTGAGGGGGGGGCCATGGCGGAGGAGCGGCCCCCCCGGCTGGTGGATTACTTCGTGGTAGCCGGGCTTTCGGGGAGCGGAGCACCCATCCCTGAGGAGCCGTGGGTTCCCGAGCCCAGCGGGCCCCTGCGCCCTCCGCGGCCGGCCGATCCCATCACGGATGTGGCGGTCATTGCCAGGGCCCTGGGCGAGGAGGTGCCCCAGGGTTACACCTGCATCCAGACCTCTGCTGGGGGCCACCCCTTGGAACTCAGCGCCGGGCTCCTGGGTGGAACTCAGCCTGTCATCTGTTACCGCAGGGGCCGTGACAAGCCCCCTCTGGTGGAGCTGGGGTGCGTGGCCCCCTGCATGGGGACTGGGCGGCCAAGGGGCCGGTGTATTTACCTAGTGCTCCCATGGAGGTGGGTCCCCAGCTTCCAGCCCCGCGTCCTGTTTCCCGGTCTGTAAAACGGGGGAAAGAACACCTCCTCAGGGTGCAGTTGACAGGATTAAATGAGGCCACCCACGTGTAGGACGCGGCACAGAGTCAGCAAATGGGGCCTTTTCCTCGTCTCATTTACGAATGAGTGTGCGGGCCACGGAGGGCTCGAGGGGTTGCTGCTGACCAAGAGGGAGAGAGCCAGGGCCAGAGTCCAGCCAGAAGCGGGGCCCCGGGGTCCACTCTGACACGGCTGAGGGTGGGAGGCTGGGAGGTAGGACCGGTTAGGCGGATCTGCCCTGGGCTGTTGACATCTGTCTCTGCTCTGTGCCCAGGGTGCTGTACGAGGGGAAGGAGCGACCCAAGCCCGGCTTCCGAGTGCTAGACACGACGCCCTACAGCCACTCGGCCAATCTAGCCCCTCCCGGCCCGGGGCACCCCCGCACCTACCTCACTTACCGGCGGGCAGCAGAGGGGGCAGGGCTGCACGCCCTGGGCATCACTGACCTCTGCCTGGTGCTGCCCAGCAAGGGCGAGGGCACCCCTCACACCTACTGCCGACTGCCCCGCAACCTCAACCCTGGCATGGTGAGCGGGGCCCGCGAGGCGTTGGCGTGAGGGTGTGGAAACCGGGCACAAAGGATGGCCTAGGGCCTCTAGGGCGGGGGGTGGACCCAGAGGGGTGGCTCTCGTCTCGGGGGACTCCTTGGGGGTGGTAGAGCAAATGGCTCCCGGAAACGTCGTCAGCTATGCATCTGCTCGTCTCTCTTTGCTTCTGGGACAGTGGGGTCCAGCGGTGCACCTGTGCTACAAGGTGGGCCTGGCCAAGGCCAACACACTGGTGTACGAGGCAGGTGAGTAGCCCCTTTGTCCCCCCCGCCGCCCCCCCCCCCCGGCGCTCGGGTCCCTCTGCCCTGGCACCTCTCGGCCGGCACCACCTGCGTGTCCAGAACCCACCTCCCCTCTGCCACCGGGCGCTTCTCTCGCATCCCCTGGTTCCTACACCCCGGAGTCTGATCGGCCCTCCTCCTGGTGCCCCCCACTCCGCCGGGGCCGCAGAGCTGCTGGGCCGCTACCCGGAGGAGGACAATGAGGCCTTCCCGCTGCCCGAGTCGGTGCCCGTCTTCTGCCTGCCCATGGGGGCCACTGTCGAGTGCTGGCCTGCCCAGACCAAGTACCCCGTGCCCGTCTTTTCCACCTTCGTGCTCACGGGCGCAGCTGGAGACAAGGTGGGTGTGCGGGGCGCGCCCCGGGGTCCAGGCCGTGCAGAGCCCGCCTGACGGCCTCTCTGCCCCCCTGCCAGGTGTACGGGGCTGCCCTGCAGTTCTACGAGGCGTTCCCGAGGGCCAGGCTGTCGGAGCGGCAAGCACGGGCCCTGGGCCTCTTGAGTGCGGTGGAGCGCGGCCGGGCGCTGGGGGGCCGGGCCGTACGCAGCCGCCGCGCCATTGCTGTGCTGTCCCGCTGGCCTGCCTTCCCGGCCTTCCGAGCCTTCCTCACTTTCCTCTACCGCTACTCCGTCTCGGGCCCCCACCGCCTGCCCTTGGAAGCGTGAGCATGGGCACCGTGACGCTGGGAAGGGGTGATGAGGGAGGGCTGGGGGAGCCCAGGAGAGATGGGAGAGGTTGCGGTGGGCAGAGGAGTGGGGGCAGGGAAACGCCACGGGCTGAGGGGCGAGTGGGGCCCGAGCTCCACCCCACGCTTGCTAGTTAGGTCCTGACAGCGCCTGCGTGACCTCTCTGTGCAGCAGGGGCTCTGACGGCAGGCGAGGGCCTCCAGGTGGAGCTCTGGGAGGCCCGAGGTTCTGGGGGACAGGTGAAGGACACGCGCGTCCCTCTCTTCCCCAGGCACATCTCTCACTTCATTCACAACGTCCCCTTCCCCTCCCCGCAGAGGCCTCGCATCCTGGTACAGGTGAGTCCTGGGGGGTGTTGGGGGCGGGGAGGTGAGGGGGGGCGGAGGGAGGTGGGCCGGCCTCCGTCATTCTGACCTGCGGCCCTCCTGCCCCCAAGATGTCTCCTTATGACAACCTGCTTCTCTGCCAGCCCGTGTCCTCACCCCTGCCCCTCAGGTACGTGCCCGGGTTGTGGGGTGGGGGGGGGGGGGGGGGGGGGCGGGGGCTGCGGCGACCAAGGACACGTAGGCGCCAGGCAGGAGCGCCCGGCTCTCGAGGTCTGGAGGCCGGGCCCCCGGGGGCGTCTGTGCATAGTGTGTCGGGAGGACTCTCCGGGGTCTCCTGGTGACCCCCCCCACCTTGCGCTGCCCGCAGTGGTGCCAGCTTCTTGCAGCTGCTGCAGAGCCTAGGCCCGGAGCTGGCCGTCACCCTGCTGCTGGCCGTGCTCACGGAGCACAAGCTGCTGGTGCACTCGCTGCGGCCGGACCTGCTCACCAGCGTCTGCGAGGCCCTGGTGTCGGTGAGTGCCCGTCCTGCCCGGCCACCCTTCCCCAGACTCTGCTGCCCGCTCCTTCCTCCCAGAGGGTCCTCGACCTTCTCCTTGGGCACGACCTGTACAGCTTCGGTCCGGGGGGGCTGTTCTCCAGAGTCCCCACCACCCGCGCTGCACCCCCTCTGCCGTCCCCGCCCCCGCCTCAGTGGCCCTCACTGCCTGGTGCTGCAGATGATCTTCCCGCTACACTGGCAGTGCCCCTACATTCCGCTGTGCCCGCTGGCGCTGGCGGACGTGCTGAACGCCCCCGTGCCCTTCATCGTGGGCATCCACTCCAGCTACTTCGATCTACATGACCCACCTGCTGACGTCATCTGCGTGGATCTCGACACCAACACGCTGTTCCAGTAAGAGGGCCGGGCCTCCCCCCCCACCCCCACCCCCACCCCCAACCCCGGGCTGGCGTGTGCCACGCCCCTGCTCACCAAGAGCCCGGGACAGACAGTTGGGGAGGCGGGACACGGGCCCCACCGCGCCTCCTTCCTGCTGCTTATCTCACAGGACTGAGGAGAAGAAGCCCCTCTCCCCTCGGACCCTGCCCCGCAGACCCTACAAGGTTCTGCTGGCTACACTGACACACCTCTACCAGCAGCTGGACCAGAGTGAGAACCCTGTGGGGGCGGGGGGCTGAGCCCACGGGTAGGGAGGCCTGTAGAGAGCTAGGCCTTCCTCGAGGTCAGAGGTTGGGATCTCACCTGGTGGAAGTCGGCGAGAGGCCAGGCGGAGGATACCCGTGTTCCGAACGCCGGGGTGGGGGCGAACTCGTTCCCGGGGAGGCTGGAGACTGCCACCTGACGGGCGTGCTGGGAGCTGGCGTTGGCTCGGCAAGAGCGGGGGTCGAGGCTGGCCTGACTCGGGCTGCCCTGGTCCCCAGCGTACACTGGCCCCGAGGAAGAGGCGTCCTTGGAGTTCCTGCTGACGGACTACGAGGCCGTGTGCGGCCGCCGGGCCCGGCTGGAGCGCGAAGTCCAGGGAGCCTTTCTCCGCTTCATGGCGTGTCTGCTCAAGGGCTACCGGGACTTCCTGCGCCCCCTCACCCAGGCCCCCTCCGAGGGCGCTCGAGATGTCGACAACCTCTTCTTTTTGCAGGGTAGTCGGGGCGTCTCGGGAGGGCTGTCCGGGGGCTGGGGGTCCCGGAGCCGCTTGCTCGCTCGTTCCTTCACTCGGCAAACGTCTCAGTGGGCACAGGTCCGGGCCCTGCGCTCTCCTGGGCTTGGAGGGAGTCCCGGGCACAGAGACGCCCCGCCCCGCCCTTGCGGACATCCCCCCCGACCCCCGGTCTCAGGCAGGGGGTGCCGAGGGATCTCGGGAAGGCTGCGGCCGGTACGTGACCCGTGACCCCGCCTGTCCCCCGCTCCCGCCCCCCCCCCCCAGGCTTCCTCAAGTCCCGGGAGCGCTCCAGCCACAAGCTGTACTGCCAGCTGCTGCGCACACAGATGTTCTCGCAGTTCATCGAGGAGTGCTCCTTCGGCTCCGCCCGGCACGCCGCCCTGGAGTTCTTTGACTCGTGCGTGGACAAGGTACTGGGCGCCGTCCTTCCCTCGAGCCACCGCAGCCTCTCGACGCCCGGTCGGTGCTGGGAATGCCGTCCGTGCCCCACGTGTGGCTGCTTCGGTTGCACACCTCCCTCCGGTTCTGACTCCACCCCACCCCCCCCCCAGCCCGCTGCAGCTCCCTCCGGTTCTGATTCCGTCGCCCCCCCTCCCCCCCCGCCCCACCTGCTGCACCTCTGGGGCCTGAGAAGTGGGGGGCATGGGCCTTGCTGTGCCCTTCAGGGAGAGGCCGGGTCCTGGACACCCTGGCCCGTGCCCACTGTCGTGACCTCGCTCTCTCACCTCCTGCTTCAGGTGCACCCAGAGCAGGACAAGCCTGAGCCGACGCCCTTGGTGGAGCTGGAGGAGCTGTCGGGGAGCGAGCTCACCGTCTTTATCACCCCTCCCGAGGAGCCCCCAGCACCAGAGGGCAGTGAATCCGCCCCCCAGTACTGGTGAGGGCCTCTTATTCCAAGCCCCGCGGGCTGGCTTCGTGTCAGCTGCTCCTGATGTGGCCTCCCTCTGCTCCTCCAGCTACGACGGCTTCCCAGAGCTACGGGCCGAGCTGTTTGAGTCTCCTCAGGAGCAGCCCGGGGCTCTGCCCGTGCCGGGCCCGACCCGCAGTGCCCCCAACAGCCCTGCCCCCCGCCGTACCAAACAGGTAACTGGGACACGGGCCCCAGACACCCCTGACTCCGGCCATCTCCTCATCTGTGAAATGGATGGACTGGCGCCTCCGCTATTATTAGCCGGTGTCCGTGCGCTTGCACGCGCAAAGCACGTGAGACGTTAGCTGCCGTTCCCGTTCCCGTCATCACGGTCGCTCTGTCCCGGCCAGTCTGGGAAGCCAGGGGCTTATTGCCTCTCCCGGGGCACCTGCCGGAGGGCCGGCCTGTCTGCCCGGGGCTGCAGGGCGGAAGCCTGAGTGCGGCACCCCTCCCGCCTCCTCGGAGCGCAGACCCTTGCTCAGGGAGGGGGGTGCTCCTGCCCCCCCCACCTTAAGACCTGTTTTGGCCTGGCGCTGTCCTCACCCAGGCGTCCCCGCCCCATCCAGGAGATGAAGGTGGCCCAGCGGATGGCGCAGAAGTCGGCGGCCGTGCCCGAGCTGTGGGCCCGGTGTCTGCTGGGGCACTGCTACGGGCTGTGGTTCCTGTGTCTGCCCGCCTACGTGCGGTCGGCGCCCTCCCGCGTGCAGGCTCTGCACACGGCCTACCACGTGCTGCGCCAGATGGAGAGCCGCAAGGTGGTGCTGCCGGACGAGGTGGGCCTCCGCGCCCCGCCGCGGGGCGAACCGCGCAGCCGTGGGGAGCCGGGCAGGTGTTCCAAACGTTCCCTGAGTGGGCGTGTTCAGGGCACGGCCGTGGGGACCGACCCTGCGTGTCTGCAGGAAGGGCGGAGACCCTGGGTGCCCCCGGGGACCGGTGGGGTCTGTGGGACGTGGGGAGGCTGCAAGAAGGTGCCTGCTGGGACCGGGGGGAGGGGGGGGACCGGGTGGGGGGGGCGGGCCGGGGCTGGGAGGGACCCTCATCCTGCGCCCCTCCCGGCCCAGGTGTGTTACAGGGTGCTGATGCAGCTGTGCTCCCACTACGGGCAGCCCGTGCTGTCGGTGCGAGTCATGCTGGAGATGCGGAGGGCCGGTGTCGTGCCCAACACCATCACCTACGGCTACTACAACAAGGTGCCGAATCCGGCCAGGGTGGGGAGGGCGGGCGGTGGCCGGTGTGCCGCGGGGAGAGTGCTGCTCCCTGACGCCCCCTCGGGGACCCGCCCTGTGACCACTGTGTCCTACCCCGTGCCCGGAGCTCCTTAGCGCCCACACGGGGCTTCCTCCTACTTGGCCGCTTTCTCACTCGCCAGAGCCCCGACGAGGCGGCCGGGCAGGTACCGCTGTGACCCACCAGTAGCCGTGGGGTCAGCCGGTGAGCCGGGAGCTGCTCCACGCCCGCCGCACGGTGCCCGTGTTTGAGCTCAGCACAACCCCATCGTCCCAGGCGGGCAGTGAGGGTGCAGAGGGCTGGTACCTCATCCAGTGCCCCACGCCCCAGGAGGAGGTTTGGGGGGCTGGGTGTGAACACGGGGGCACGGGGATGTTTCCTGCACTCAGGCCCTTAAGCGTGACCCCAAGCTGCCTCCTGCTTTTTACACGATGAAGCTAACGGCTGAGAAAGTGAAAAGATTTCTTCGAAGCCGTATACTCGATAAGCAGCAGGGCCTGGGTGCAAACTGTCTGCGCCGTTTCTGGCTTCCTCCAGACTCCTCAGCGGCAGCTGCTGCTGATTCCCTTATCTGGGCTCTCGCTCCTGGCCGAGCCGTGGGCAGGACCCACCCAGGCAGGACGTCTGCAGGGGAAGGTGGCCCCTGGGTCCCGGGTGGCGTCCCTGAAACAGGCAGTGGCCATCAGGCCATCGTCGGGGCGTGGAAGTAGGCCGTCTTGATGGGCGCTGTGCTTGGCAGGCTGTGCTGGAAAGCAAGTGGCTGTCTGGTACGCCGGGCGGACGCCTGCGCTGGGCCAAGCTCCGGAACGTTGTCCTGGGGGCCGCTCAGTTCCGCCAGCCCCTGAGGGAACGGCGGCGGCGGCAGCAGCAGCAGGCGGCAGCGCCAGAGGCAGGCGGTGCCCAGACAGGTGGGTGGGGGCCGTGACAGGCTTGGGGACAGCAGCCAGGCTCCAGCAGAGAAGCGTGGGGGGCCAGGGCTGGCCTCGTGGTGGGCACTGGGTGTTCTGGGCACTCTGGGTGGGCTGCGCTTGGCCGGTAAAAAGGGGAGGATGTTCTGCCCGGGAGGGTCCCTGCGACCCCGGTCCATGCGGGGAGCCCTGTGTTGGAATAGAGGGCTGGTCTCTAGGTGGCTGCCTCTTGGCCTCGTCCCCGTCTTTTGCAGAGCCTCGTCTGGAGCGTCACTCCCCTACCCGCCCGCTTCAGCGCCAGACCACTTGGGCTGGTCGAAGCTTTCGGGACCCAGCTTCACCCACAGGGCGCCTGGTGAAAAGCGGCAGCCTGGGCAGTGCCCGCGGGGCCCAGCCCACCGTGGAGGCCGGCGTGGCCCACAGTGAGTACCCTTGTCTGACCCCCAGTCGGCTTTCCTAAGCACTTGCCAGGAAGAGAGGGGTTCTCTGTGGGGGGGCGCCGTGGAAGCTGGAGGACCTCGTCTGGGACTCCGTCGGCTGGGGGTGGGGGGGGGGTTGTGGCGCCAGAGTCCGATCAGCCAGGGACCGTGTTTCCCGACTTTTCTCTGCCCCGCAGTGATCGAGGCCTTGGGGGTCCTGGAGCCCCGGGGGTCCCCTGTGCCCTGGCGAGACGGAAGCCTCTCCGACCTGAGCTTGACCGGGGAGGAGCCGGCGCCTGGGGGCAGCCCGGAGGACTCGGGCTCTGCCCTGAGCACCCAGTCCACTGAGGCCCCGGAAGGGCTGAGTGGGCGGACGCCCAAGGCTGGTGGGCGTCAGGACGAGGCCCGCACCCCCAGACGAGGGCTGGGCACCCGCCTGCAGCAGCTGCTCACCCCTTCCCGCCGCCCCCCTGCCTCGCGCGGCCCCCCGCCCGAGCTGCCCCCTGACCCACCTCCCCCAGCCCGCCGCAGCCCCATGGACAGCCTCCTGCGCCCCCGCGAGCGCCCTGGATCCACTGCCTCTGAGGTAGCCGGCGAGGGGAGGGTGCAGCTGTGGCGGCACCCGGGGGCCCAGGGGGGCTGCCAGTGCGGAGCCGGCCCCGGGGAGGCCCTAAGGGGGCTTTCTCCTGTGATGGCAGAGCTCAGCCTCTCTGGGCAGCGAGTGGGACCTCTCCGAGTCTTCTCTCAGTAGCCTGAGCCTTCGCCGGTCCTCAGAGCGCCTCAGTGACACCCCTGGGTCCTTGCAGCCGCCCTCCCTGGAAGTGAGGATAGCCCGCATCCCTCCATCAGAGGCGGGGGCAGGGGAGGTGGGAGGACGCCTCCCGAGCCTGGCGGGGTCTTCTCCCTGCAGATCCTGCTGTCCAGCTGCTCCCTGTGCCGGGCCTGTGACTCGCTGGTGTACGACGAGGAGATCATGGCTGGCTGGGCACCTGATGACTCCAACCTCAACACCGTCTGCCCTTTCTGCGCCTGCCCCTTCGTGCCCCTGCTCAGCGTCCAGACCCTGGATTCCAGACCCAGGTGCCCGAACCAGGGTGGGTGCTCCGGGAGGGATGGGGGGAGGGGAGTGGAGGCCCAAGGGCTGACCCCTCTTATCCCTCCACAGGGCCCCCAGCCCCAAGCCTGCCCCTGCCGGTGGCAGCAGAGACGCTCCTGTCCCCGGGGGCCCAGGCCCTGTGCTCAGTGACCGCAGGCTGTGCCTCGCCCTGGATGAGCCCCAGCTCTGCAATGGGCACACGGGGGTAAGGGCTGGCGAGGAATTGGGTCTGCGTGTGTCGCCCAGCAGGGGGCACCGGGGGTGGCAGGGTGCGATGGGCATTGAGGGCAGGGGGCATCTCAGAAGCTGCTGGACGTGGTGGCCCAGCGGGAACCCGGCACTGAGGATCGGGCCGCGATCCTCCCTGAACCACCCACCCTCTTTGTGCCTGACAGGGTACCTCCCAGCGGGTGGAGGCTGGGGCCTGGGCGTATCTGAGCCCTCTGGTGCTGCGGAAGGAGCTGGAGTCGCTGGTGGAGAACGAGGGCAGTGAGGTGCTGGCATTGCCTGAGCTGCCGGCTGCCCACCCCATCATCTTCTGGAACCTTCTGTGGTATTTCCAGCGGCTGCGGCTGCCCAGTATTCTGCCCTGCCTGGTGCTGGCCTCCTGTGATGGGCCCCCACCCCCCCAGGTCAGTGCCCCCTGCCCCTGCTTCCTGAGCGCTCCTTCCCTCACCTCCCAGCTCTGCCCCTTGGGCTTCGGAGGTGGCACCTGCTTTGACCCCTGGCCTTTTCACGCCACTACTCAGCCTCGATTCTCTCATCTGTAGAATGGCACAAGCATCCAGTGCCCGGGGCTGTCAGACATCTCGTGTACCGCCCAGCACCTGTCACAATGCCTCCTTGACATTCGTCTGTTCGTCCCACCACATACGTACTGGGCACCCATTAGGTCCCGGGCAGCGTGTAGGCAGTAGCGACGCGGCGACTGCAGAGCAGAGAGCGTGCTCTCAGAGAGCCCGCGCTCTCGTGGGGGATGAGCATTCCTTCCCTCTTCTCTCTGACCGCATCCCGGAACACCGCTGGTCCAGGTCTCGTTCTCTGCCCGCCACCTCCTGAACCCGCCCCCCTTCGTCTTGGCCCCTGCAGGCCCCGTCTCCCTGGCTGACACCTGACCCGGCGTCTGTGCAGGTGCGGCTGCTGTGGGATGTCCTGACCCCTGACCCCAGTAGCTGCCCACCTCTCTATGTGCTCTGGAGGGTCCACAGTGAGTCTGGTATTTGGCTTAGGCTGGGAAGGGGTGGCTTCCACGCCCCGAGGGCTTGGTAACCCTGGCTGCCTTCCTTCGTTTCACACAGGCCAGATCCCGCAGCGGGTGGTATGGCCGGGCCCCGTGCCCGCACCCCTTAGCATGGACCTGCTAGAGTCGGTGTTGCGCTATGTTGGTCTCAGCGAAGTACACAAAGCCGTGGGGCTCCTGCTGGAAACTCTGGGGCCGCCTCCCACAGGCCTGCATCTGCAGAGGTACGGTGCTCCCATCTGGGAGGTCCCTGGCCTCCTATCCTGGGCTCCACAGTCGTTTTCTCTCACTCGTCCCCTCTGCCTCCATTGCAGGGGCATCTACCGTGAGATCTTATTCCTGACAATGGCCGCTCTGGGCAAGGACCACATGGACATAGGTGAGGGAGCAGGCAGGGGACTGAGGAGGTGAAGGATCTGGGGCCAGGTGTTGCGGGGCGGGGGGGGGGGGGGGGAGGGCGCTTGGAATCCTGATCTGTTGACTCACCTCCACCCTCTTCCCTAGTGACCTTCGACAAGAGGTACAAGTCTGCCTTTAACAAGTTGGCCAGCAGCATGGGCAAGGAGGAGCTGAGGCAGCGGCGGGCACAGATGCCCACTGCGAAGGCCATCGATTGCCGGAAATGTTTCGGAGCACTTCTGGAATGCTAGGGACCCTTAAGCTTTTGTCTCCCACCTGGGGTGGGGAGGTGAGGGAGAAAGGGTTCCAGAGATAACCTGCTTCCCTACTCCTTCCATACAGGAGTTGGGGACGGCCTGGGAGGCAGGCCCAGCCATAGGCACCGAGTGCATGGGCAGCAGGAAGCGGGACCCCCTGTGACCAAAAGTCACAGTCCCCTATCTGCGGCCTGCCCAGTGTGCTCACGCTGATGTTATAGGAGGTGGGGGTGGTGTAGGGGAGTTGGCACAGTTCTGCTCTTCCCCAAATTGTACCAGGAACTCTCCTCCAGGGCACCCACAGATCTGCACCGCCCTGGTCACGTTACAAGTTTTTGTTTTAAAAAACAACTGGAAAAATACAGAGCTACTGAGCCTTTGCCCTGAATGGGAGGGAGGGATGTCATCCCACCAGTGATGGTTCTTCTTCCCCAGAATTGCCGAAGTAGCCCGAGGCTCTCCGTTACACCTTCCTACCTTAGTGTTTGTATTTTAAGTTATTTATTTTGGAGCCATAGCCCCTTGCTTAGGAGGCTCTTAGGGATGGTGAGAAAGAGAAGGGACACGGGGCACCATGGTTCAGTGGCTTGTAGCTGCGGAAGAGGCAGGGGCCATCTAGAGGAGCCCCAGACCCCCCTCAGGAAGAACTAAAGCCCCGTCCAGTCCAGTCCTTCCCGCCCAGGGCCCGGACCGTGCAATAAGGGTCGTTCCTTGCAAAGTTTTGTTGGATGTAAATATAGTAAAAGCTGCTTCTGTCTTTTTCCTTCTGCGTCTTGTTTCCTGGATCTGGGACAGCGGTGGGGGATACCTTTTCTTTCTCCCCGACTGCACATCTTCCTTTCTGCTTCTCCATCCCTTTGCAGCCTCTGGGGTGGCCGGCTTTCCGGGACCAGGTCTGGTGCCGGTCCCCTGGGGCCCCGGGAGCTCTGAGAGCAAGAGAGGGGTGAGTCTGGCGCTGGCCGTGGTGGTGCCAGTCCGTGTGGCACTTCCGGCCCTCCCACACAATCGCCCCCTTGTCCCTCACTTGTACCCCACACAAAGGCTCCATTCTCCGGGGGCCTTGAGCTCATCCCTGCCTCCTTTCCCTCTCGGGCTTCTCCAGCACCGCCCCATAGGACGGCCCTCTCCCTGGTAGTTGGTGTTGGCCCTCTCATCGCCCTGGGAGCCCTGGCCGTGGTCCTAGGCCGCTTCAGCTGCTCTAGCCCCGGTTCCTACTCTTCCAGCCAGGGTCCCAGCCTGGGGACGGCGCCAGGAAGACAGGGGCGAGGACTGAGGCGCTCCCGGCATGTGGGCAACAGGGAGACGGGCCGCCTCGGAATTCTCCCTTTCCCGTATGATGAAATAAATTCCGGAAACAATATAATTACCAAAGGGAATTAGCCAACAAAACAAATGCCTTGGGTCCTTCCCCGGAGGGCAGGAGTGTCAGCGGAGGAAGTAACTTAGGTGAGGCTTTATGCAAATTCCTGGGAGTGGAGAACGGTGGCTGATGAGAGAAGTACTATCTCTAAATTCTGGAAGCTTCAAGCCACAGGACCGACCCTTCCCCATCCTGTGCCAAGCGTGGTAGGTGCTTTTCCAGGGCCCTAAAAGAGCTGCACAGGAGGGAAGCAGGGGCTTAGGAAATGCCATCAGTCTTGCCAGGGACGAGGAGATGCCTTCTTCAGTGAGGAACCCTCACCTCACCCCAGCTTCTGACCAGACCTCATCTCCCACAATCAACCTCTCCCTGTGTCTGCAGGGGAGCAACAGCCTTTCTGAAATACACCTTTCTGTTGAGTGTAGAGTGTCCAGCAGTGTGCTGAACCGTCTGGAGGTACAGAGAGAACTTTAGGGCTCTGTCCCTACCTTACAAGAGCATACAATCTCATTGGTCTAGAGTTCCCCTTGACTCCCAATGATAATCATCCTTGTCTCCAGCTTACACCTCTCACCTATGGGCTTCCTTCTAGACACCTACAGACAGATGGGGACAGGACTCCAAAGTTCTTCAAACACGAATATCGAAATTCCAATAGCAAAGTACTCACTATGACGTCTGATAACTCGGTCCTGTGGCCTAGGGAGCTGTATGAGGGGAAGGATATGCCTAAATTACCTGGCTCAATTTTCTCCACCCACACTTTAGAGCAAGTAGGCTTCAGTGTGACAGAATTTTAATTAAATCTTGTCTCTGCCATTTACTAATTGTATTGTATCAGCCAAATTAACTGCTGTGCCTCATTTTTTTCCTTGCCTGCAAACCGAGGAGATTATTCGTCAAGATTAGTTATATAAACCACATAAAGTGCTAAGCACGCTCCGTAAGTGCTAGCTTCGAAAAGAGAACGAACAAACAGGCAGTCTGCAGAGGGAAAGGTCAGGTCCGCTCCAACAGTGAGCCCTTGGAGGACACACGTCTTCCTTGGAGTTTGAGCACTCTAGATTCAAAGTCCCCTCCACGGTCTTTCTGTTGAAAGGTATCTTCGTCAGGCCCGGCATCTTCAGCCACCATGCTCCCGGAGTCTGCTCTCGGCCCGATGGCAGAGAACGGGCAAAACAGGTTAGGGAAGGCCTGCGCCTTCAATGAGGGCTGGGACTTTGTCACAATTCTCCTGGATCCCCAGCACATGGCAGGCCCTCTGTCTTGTATGTTAAGTAACTGAGGCAGCGAAGCCATCAACATGAAAAGCAATTTTCAGTGCAGAGCAAAAAGCAAGGTGGGAACAACAGGTAGACAGCAAGAGAAGCTGAATTTAGAGCTAAGAGGGTGGCAGTGAGGAAAACTCTCACAATAGTTACCATTTACTACGTTCACTAAGTGCTTACTATATCCTTGGCACTGTTCGGAGCATTTTAAGTGTACTGTTTTTTTGTTTTTAATTTTTCAATGTTTATTTTTGAGAGACAGCGCGAGTGGGGGAGGGGCAGAGAGCGAGGGAGACAGAATCCAAAGCAGGCCTCCAGGCTCTGTGCTGACAGCTCAGAGCCCAACGTGGGGCTGGAACCCACAAACTATGAGAACGTGACCTGAGCCCAAGTCGGAGGCCCAACCGACTGAGCCACCCAGGCGCCCCTAAGTGTACTATTCTGAAATCCTCCCAAGTACCCTATGAGCTGGGCGCTCTTCTCAGTACTCTCATTTTACACATAGGGAAGACTGGGGCACAGAGAATAGACATTAAGTCCCTTGCATCCAAATCCTACAGCTGGTGAGAGGTATACAGCCCAGGCAGCCTGACTCCAGAGACCACGTTCTTCATCTGGACCTTAGGAGCCAGAAATTTAAGAATGGGCGCACCCCTTTGCGTGGGCGTCCAGGGTCCACCCAGCTTCATGGAGCATCCTCCACCAGTTTCCTTTGCCTTGATTTCTAAAGGATTTGAGGGGCTCCTGGGTGGCTCGGTCGGTTAAGCGTCTGACTTCAGCTCAGGTCATGATTTTCACGGTTCCTGGGTTCCAGCCCCAGAGCCTGGAGCCTGCTTCAGTTTCTGTGCCTCCCCCCACCCCCTCTAAAAAATAAACATTAAACAAAAAGTAGCAATAAAGGGTTTGAAAAGGACATTCTAGTGCTTCTGGAGCCAGTTACCCCTGGTTTCAAACCACTGCCTCCTCCGTAATTAAATGTCCGACCTTTGCAGGTAACTCAACCTCTCTGAGCCCGACCCTGATGTACGTGGGTTCAGGCTTCAGCCCTGCCACTTAGCACGGGTGACTTTGGGCACGTTATGTCCCCGCCTGTACACTGGAGACAACACTATCTCCCTGGAGAGTTAGGAGCAATCAACGAATCAGTCCGCGGAAGGCCCAAAAGAGTAGGTGATGAGCCCGTAGCGCAGCGCTCGCCAGCGGCTCCCCGGCACCCTGACTCCGGTCACTGGATCCCGGTCCTCGAGGAGCTCGAGAACCGCTCCGACAGTTGGGCTGCAGGCAGGGAGGCCGGCTCGAGGCGCCGGGCCCAGGCGCGACCCAGCGGACGCAGCTCCTCGCGCCGCGAGCCCCGCCCGCCCCTCGCCCCGAGGCCCCCGC